ACTAGGCAAAAGCTAAAAGAAACAACACTACCTAAAATCTAAAAGTAGGTGAAAGCTAGCTAGAAGTTAAAATTAGTAGAATAGTAGTTAAAAACAAAAAGGAGCAAAAGAACAGCTAAAAGCTAAAAGAAAATGCTGATCGCTGAAGAAAAAAAGAAGCAAAACACTGCCTAAGCTAATAGCTTAGGTAAAAGCTAAACATAGTGAAAGGCTAGCAAGAATCTAAAAGTTACAAAAGGCTGGCTAAAAAACTAAAGTAGGAAAAGGGTAGTTAAAAGTTAAAAGTAGCAAACTGCTAGCTAGAAGCTAAATTAGCAACTAAAAGTACCAAAAGGCTAGCTAAAAGTCAAAAGTAGCATTAGAAGGAAGATAAAACAAGTATCCTGAAGCAGCTTCAAAAGGAAAATAAGTTTTCAAAGTGAATAAAGAGATCTCAACGTTTTTTTTTTTGGTTTTTTTGTAAAAATATTAGTAAATTTCTATTCTGACAAATATAAAATGTAAAAAATCCGGAGCACCCGTCTCCTGAATGAACTGAACGTTTTGATGACTGAATGGATAAAATAACGCAAAGCATGCAAAAGTAGTTTGCAAACAAACCAAACATACTGGAAAATTAAAATTTTAAAACGCAGGAAAACAAAAGAGTAAATGCTGACTCAGCATCCACGTTGCTCGGCGCGTGTTTTAAGCAGCTAAAGAAATGATACACTTGTTTCATTTCTGTTCCTCATTTCCAGAACAGGACGAGGAGGTTTAGCAGCAGATTGGCTGATTTTCTCCCGCCTCAGCATCAGCAGAGTGTCATAATATTTAATAAATGTGTGTTAAAGTGAGTGAGGCTGCGGCGTGTGTGGAAACAGTGTGAGTTTATGAGCTGAGCAGACACTCCGGTCTTATCGGCTCCTCTCTGATCCTCTCAGAGCTGCTTCACTCCGCCTGCAAACATCAGCAGAGAGCTGGGATTAGTTCACAACACAACACTCTTCTGGTTTTTTACCAACATTTAGGGCAGGATTTGAGCCAAATACATCTTTATTAATCAATCAAGTTGTTTAATATTACATGTCAGCTTCTACTTAAAACAAAGAGATAAACACGATTTACATATTTAATAATTGTTTTAGGATGAGTGGGAGCTGACTGTGCTGCTTTGGTTTGTGCACACTCAAGAGGGCCGGCGTGGTGTAAATATCTCCCTCCCTCTGAAATGTCAATCAACAATATCTTTCTGCTGCCATCCAGTTTCATCTTGCACACACACACACACACACACACACACACACACACACACACACACACAGATAGATAGAGCTTCATTTATCTCAGGAACAGGACACTAACGTATCGTTGTTACAACCACACACGATGGAACAAAGATTCAACACAATGAGACCCACAATAGTTGCATAACCAGTGTGTGTGCGTGTGCATGTGTGAGTGTTTTTGTTTCAAGTTACATTGTGGAGACCATTTTTACAAAAAAAATCCTACATTGTGGGGACCAACTGCACATTGTGGGGACTAAAGCCAGGTCCCCCATAAGGATAAGTCTTGTTGGGGTTTAGGGGTTAGGTTTACTAGTAGTTGCCTAGTAATAGTTTACCATTACTAGTACTAGGCATGTACTAGTAATGGTTAGGTTTAGGGAAAGGATTAGAGTTAGGCTATAGAAAATGAATTGAAGTCAATGCAAAGTCCCCAAATAGTACGTTTACAAGAACGTGTGTGTGTGTGTTGTGCTTTTTGAAACCTGCACCCTCTCTGCTTGACTGATGCATTTCCTCTGTTTTTAGCTGCTCAGACTTTCATTTGAATGCATTTACTTCCTGTCCAGAGTATCAGAACCTTGCAGAAGTCTTTTTCTGCTCTAGAGTTTCCACATTGGCTTGTTAAGTTTATACTGGTTGTTATCTGTTTCAGGAAGTTGTCTGTGCCCATCTCCCACTCTGTCCTCCCTCTTTCCATTTCTCTAGAGGTTTAACCGGGTCTCGGTGTGTTTGATGGTGTCCTGCTCTGCAGATCTGAGTGTCACGGCTGGTTGAGCTGCAGATCAGACTGTAAGGAGGAGACTTCTCCTGCTCAGTGACAGGAATGGCAACATATCGTTTCTTTTTACTCCCTTTTTTTTTTTTGCTCTACTGTATTTTGTTTTTTCTGACCGTGCTTCCTCGTTTCATTCTCATGTCTATCTGTTTCCACTTGTCTTTAGTTTTAGACTCATGTTTGTTCTTTGCGTTTGCAGTCCCTTTGTGTTTTCTCACTATTGTCCAATTTCTTTTCTGCCAGCATCCCTGTTAGAATAAAGTGATACTTTGTGAAAGAACTCCTAAGATAACTTCTGGAATATTGAGGAGGATATTCTGTTAAATAACTTATCAGACAGCATGAAAGTCGACTTGTTACCTAATCCGGAGTGGAACTGTAGATCTGCCAGTTCAGAAACATGAGATCTGGGCTCTGGTCACAGGGTGTGGGCTTCTGATTTATTAATAATGAACATTTCCACGTATACTTTGAGATAAGATGTGCACATTAGTTGGAATATGGCGTCAGGTTAAGTTTTTTCTTGAAGGTTCATTAAGTTTTGTGCATCAAGGGGCTAGAGAAAGAAAAAAGCTTCTGTGTAAAAACATATTTATCACAATTCAAACTTCATTTTACAGTTTTAAACAATGATTCTTCTCTTCGAGTTTTTTCTCTTAAAATCTCTCTTTTTTTTTACTCTTAAAAACTCTTTCGCACTTAAAATCCGTGAGCTTTATGTATTAATTCTGCTTGTGCTTATCTTGAACCAATTTTAAATGGTTATTGTGAATGAGTTGAATAAAGTTTGACTTATTTGACTGTTTTGTTTTACTTAATGCGCCTTATAATCCGCTGTGCCTTATTTATGAAAACTGACCCGTTTCTTGATTCTTCGCCTTATAATCCGGTGCATCTTATAGTCCAAAAAAACGGTACTTTGAGCGAAAATGTATGTGCAAAGTTTGATTTTCACAACAATACAACTGCTTTAAAACAACCTGATTTTTTTTCTGGTTACAGTTTTTTTTAGTGGCTACATTTCAATGTGAGGCCGTTTTTAGACAATTTTTAAACAGATTCTGGCAGATCTGGGCCTTCTAATTCAGTTAATAACATGAAGAAACCCTGATTTATACCAGAAAAACATTTAACACGTTAGGTCAACAGAGCTGCTGTTATCTGTGTTAGTTTATACCTAAATAAATTGTATATCTTGTATAAAAATAATTAGCTGAGTAACATCCACGCTGCAGAAAATATGAAAAAATACAAATTTTTTGATTTTTTTTTTTGTAATTCTGCAACATTTTCTGACAAAAACTAACATACATCATATTTAAAAAAACAATTTAAAATGTAACATAAATATAAAGGGACTTTAAATAGCTTTTTTCCCTTTGATTGTGTGGCAAAACAAAAAAAGACCCATTAACAGCAACTGCGATGACATTCGTATAAAATGATTCGGTTCCTCGTCTCTTTCAACACGTCTCATACTGCAGCCCATTACTGCCTCAACAAATCTAACTCTGATTTAAGCCCAGAGCGGCAGATGTTTGTCTTCTTGGCAGCTCCAGAGTCCCTCTGAAGCTGCCAAACTGGAAGCCAACACTTCCAACATCTGTGCAGCCGGAATCAATGGCTTCATTATCAGGCAGCCCTATCGATCAGTTTATTGCAGCTAATACGCCGCTGCACGCTGATAAACTCTGATGGAATGGGATTTGGGGAATGAGGAATGAAGTAGTTGGAAAAATGGCCCAACGGAGGGTAGAGAGGGAGAAGAAGAACGAAGGGGCAAAGAGGAAGACTGGGTTGGAAGGAGAGGTGAGAGTGGAGAGTGATGTAAATCAGAACAATAAACTATCTTCATATTAAAATGACTCTGCTGCAGGTTATAATGTAGGAGCTCTTTTTTAACATGTTGGGGGGAAAAAACTGTTATCATAAAGTGTTTCTTTTTATTATTATTTTCTAACATCCTCTCTTGTCTCATTTCTTTCCTTTGTTGTTGATGGTGTGTTGCAGAGAGAGTAACTTGTTTCCATGGAAACAGACTGAGCCTGATAAGCTTGGGTGCTGCAGTGTGTGTGTGTGTGTGTGTGTTAGTGTGTGTCCATCTCATTTTTCTACCCTTTTTAGTATATTTTCTTTATAATCACCTGCCTCACCAGGACAGGAAGTCCTCATGAGGACAGTCCTAATGCAGTGGAACGACATTTTAGGGTTAAGGTGTGTGTGGGTGTGTGTGTGAATGATGATTGATGAGGGTCTAAATCACATAGTTGCTCTGTGTGTTCATAACTCCATCCTCTAATCAGTGTTTAAGTGGTAATTAAAACCATTATGAATCCCAGGTCTCATCTAAAGGAGGTAGGGTGATTGTATGTGTCTTATGCTGGATACATTGAGAAAAGGATGTCCGTGCATCGTGTTATATCTAACCTACCTGCTGCCTTCAGTGTTTCCATGGCTGTGTTTTTGTTTCTGTCGAAGAGTGTGCAAATGGTTGTAATGGCCATGTTCCAGCATGGCTCCAAAGTGTGAAACATAGCACACAAGCAGACATCAATCTTTTGGTGAGGAAAAAATGCTGCAAACTTTGGACTTTGTGATTTTCACGTCAGGTGAAAAGTGACGATGCTCACTCGCTTGTCCTCTGTTGGCATCAGCAGGGACAGTTCGTGCTAAGACAAGAGATGAAGTTGCATTTACAGTAGTTATAGCAAACAAACTGTTATTGGGGACACAAGTTTATGAATAAACTAGATTAATTATTTCAAATACTAACCAGATATAGTTAGAAATGTTAGCTTTGGACTCTCATCTCGAAGAGTTTGAAAGATAAATGTTGGAGTTGCAGCTTTCATGCTGCAGGTCGTCTCCTACCTTTTTGTTTTTGACTGATTTTAGTTTCGAGAACGGAGGCGGTGCGACATCTTACTAATGAGAACATCTTTGTGTCTGTGCAGAGCTCCCAGAAGAAAAGAGGAACACGAACTGGCAACAAACCTGACAAGAAGTCTGCTCCCCAGGTACAAAAACACACACAATCCTGGGTGGTCCAGTTGGTTCAAATGATCAATAAGAAAACCAGCTCTGTTTCAGCAGCTGAAGGAACTTCATCTGGTTTGATAAAAGTTTCTTCCCTTTGGAGCTCAGGTTTGAGTCTGTGACCTACTTCCCTTTCAGGAGAACACACTATATGTCCATACAGGTGGTATGGAGTTATAAACAGAAAACTCTTTTCTCCTCTCTCATCTTTTCTAGGCTCTATATTGCCCTGCAGGTGTTTTTATCAAAGTCTAAACAAGGCGTTCTTTTTGTGTTCTAAGTGTGTCAGAGTGAGAATAGTTCTACGTGTGTGCAGGTCAAAAATCCACTAGTTCTCGCTGTAAATCACGTCTGCTGTGAAGTAAAATTCTCTCCTGAGCTGCTAACTCAAGCCCAGACTCTCCTCCCAGACCGCCCACCATAAATGGCTGTAAATTCTGTGAGCCGAGCCTCCTTTAATGTGGTTGGAGCTGCTCCACAGGCCGTAAAGCAAACACAGCCGCAGAGCTGCTTCTGAGGAATGTGTGGACTCGGTCAGCTGAGGTCAGCTGCAGCAACAGTAAAGAGAAACGATACATGAACAAGATTCATATTATTTTATTAGAGAAAAGTTTTAGTGAGATGATGACACTTTAAGTTTAAACTGGAATGTGAGGAATGTTGCTTTGACTGTTCGGACTCTTTTTGGCCACCAGGAGACAGAAAAATGCCACAAAAATACATATCAGAGATGTTATCACTATAAAAAGTTGTTTTTTGTTTGCATGGTAGCAATTATTAATTTATTTGTTCATCAGCACAAAATGAAATTTTATTTTTCACTCCTTCAGTTCTGCATTTGGATTTAAAGCAAATTTCAAGTTAGTGTTATTTAGAATATTCACCTGTTTTACGCTGAGGGTTTTGAGTTTTTCTCCTTCAAACTTATCAAATTTTATAATATTTTAAGGTTATGGAAGTAAAATGATAAAGTTACAATTGAAAGTGTTTTTTGGCACAGGTAGCATGTTTCTTCTCAAATATACACCAAATGTGGTCTTTCTGCAGAGAAAGTTTTTTTTGTCTGTTTCTTCCATAGTTTGCTCACTTGATTTATGCATTTTTATGTTTAACATTAGCCAGAGAGTTAAGACATTTTCTTTGCAAATGATATTTTTGGAGGCAAACCACTAATGAGTGTGTTTCCTCAAGATTATCTGCTCTTCCTAGTCAGTAGTTTTCCCTGGAAGTCCAACAAGGAACAAAAACAGAGACTTCACTGTTTAGTTGCTGAACGCCTCAAGTTGGTCGAACAGATCTTTGTATTTATCTATATATATTTTGTATGTATGTGTATATATATA